CCGATCGTTTCATGAATGTCTCGTTTTAGAATAGGTCATAGCCTGCTTCTTGAAAATGTCTTTCGTCCAAATCTATTTTATTGTCTCTCAAACTCCAAGAAAAGAAAACAGGTCAAGAGATCTCCAGTGAGTGTAGTATACTAGAACTTACTGAATCATTGAGCGTTTTGTAGTAAGTGGCCTTTTTTGTATTATCTTATTTTCTGAGATTTTATTTTTTATGTTCTTAATAAAATGTTTACCCCAATAATTAGTATCATACTTGATAGGCTCCAACTGCCTTTCCACTTTTGTCCAACAACATCTCAGATGATTGGTTAGTAGTAAGTGGCTTTTGAAATGCATCGAGGTGTAGGTGAGAAGGCTAGTTGTGTCGATCCCACCAGAGGGACCCTGTTGTTTCTGTGTTGGTTGTCTTACTGGCAATAACAAATAATCTTCTAAATAATTGCTCTCCTCTCCTTGTTTTATATTATCTTATTTTGAAATTGTTGAAATCATGGCTTCTCTGAAGTTAAGATGAACACTTTCATTTTCCTGTCCTCTATTATGTAATCACTGTTTAGCATAATGCTTCTAGATCATTCTTAACATGAAAACTAAGAAGCCTCATTACTTTAAGAACCAAATTTAAGTTCTCCTTTCCTTAACTTATTGTTAAACAATATGTGTGTCAAGAACAGAGCTTTTCGGTACTCAGTGTTCATTATGACATTTAAAAATACAGAAAAATAGAAAAGCAAATAAAGTTTATATATAATCCTACCTCCCAAAATAACTGCTGTTAGTATTTCAGTATTCACACTTTAAAAACATAACACACATAAGGACAGATACCACTTTACAGAAATGGATCTGTAATATGGGAACCAGCAGTTAGCGTAATGGCTATGTCACTGGACTCCCACGTAGTCGACCGCGGTTCGCGTCCTGGACCCAGTGGCTTAAAACTCACACCGGGTGTGTGTGTGTGTGTGCCCAAGATCCCGAGAGGAGAATGGAGGAGAAGGGTTTGCGGCGTGGCTGTCCCCCGTGGGGGGTGATTTCTCGCTTTCTGTCTCTATGTCTCTGTCTGTCTGGCGAGCGCACGTGCCCTATAGCGAAAACCACTCCAAAAAAAAAAAAAAAGAAATGGATCTGTAATACAATGTCTTATAAGCTGTTATTTTTCATGTGAATTACATTTTTGAGAATAAGTACCTGCTTAGTAAGAGCTAGCCATGGCTGTGGTCCTGGTAGCAGTAGCAGTGGTTATGGAGAAAAGGAGAGAATCAGGAGAGGTTTCCCAGCGTCCGACATGCAGAAACATTTGGTAAAGGTTTAGCTGAACAGGTAATGCGTGACTCTGGACCCATTTGTTATTAAGGCCATTAATGTCAACTTGGGTGGAGTCATTTTCCTTTATTGGCAGAAATAACTAAGTTAATATAAAATCTGGCATGGTGCTGCTTTACCCCAGTACATAAAACTTTTCAATTACTGCCTGCATTTAGGTGTGATATTTTTAGGTTTAATATTGATCAAAATAAAAACATGCTTTGAGATTAAGGCACTAGATCACACGTGGCCAGCTGCACAGTTTGCAACCTAGACCTGCTAGCGTGAAACTCACACCAGGTACATCTGTGTGCATGCTCAAAGGCCCAAGAGGAGAATGGAGAAGGGATTACAGTATGGCCATCTCCTCATGGGAGGATGATTTCTCACTCCGGAGGCTCGCTCACGCTGTCCAGTGAGTGCATGCTCCTAATGGCAAAACCTTAAAAAAAAAGTGTGTGTGTGTGTGTGTGTGTATATGTATATATTAATAAATAAATAAATATATATATATAACCATATATATATATATTTATTTATTATATCTATGCTTTGACTTTTTTTTGGGGGGAGGAGAGGTTTTTGCTATAGGGTGCGTGCGCTCGCCAGAGAGACAGAGAGATAGAAAGTGAGAAATCACCCCCCAGAGGGGATGGCCACGCAGCAATCCCTTCTCCTCCATTCTCCTCTCGGGATCTTGGGCACACATGCACACGCGCCTGGTGTGAGTGTAAGCCACCAGGTCCGGGACGCGAACTGTGGTCGACTATGTGGGAGTCCAGCGACATAGCCATTACACTAACTGCTGGTCCCTTGACTTGTTATTTCTATAAGTTATAGTACTTTGTTTACCTAGACTGATAGTAAGGAATATTGTTCTGGATAAAACACCCCTTTGTGGAAACAAGGATCACTCCTGTTGTTTTTATGCATTGTAAGAAAGTAATTACTGGATGAGTTGACAACATCTCAAACCACACCAGTTGCTGATTTGTGTTATCTTATTACTGAATTCTGTGATATCCTGTAATTATAACTCCCAGCTCTTTTGAAAACTTCCTTAGTATAGAAAAACTATGAAGCTCCAACTAGAAATTCCCTTTCTTACCTCTACCTGTGTAGGTTTAAAATTTAATGCTAGACCAAGATAAAATTTTAATGTACAATCACCCTGCCATGTGAAATAAATATGTATTATGCTGATAAGATCAATGGCCATCACTTTTCACCCCCTCATCTGTTAAATTCTGTATTGCTTTGGATCATCCAGCACTAGTTATCACGTAAGCATTAAAGCTTCACTTACTACGGAAGTTAATAGGAGTGGGGATTAGTTCGTGTCTAGATCACGTAACAGTAATTAACATAGCACGTTGGCCTGGAGCTCAAAGGCTAAAGCAGCTTGAATAGACTGTGGCCAGTGGAGAGACCTAGTCAAGGCCTAATTCCAGTTCCTGGCCTCCCAGTCCGGATAGCTTACCAAAGCCAGGAGGCAGTAGATCAGGTGACACGCTCTTGGACACCTGTTTTAAAAATGAGCTGCAGTAAAAGGCTTGATACTTTCAATACAGAAGATTAAACCTTGGCAAACCCTGAGGCACTTAAAATTTGTTTTACAATTTGTATTCTTAGTTTTTTACCATATGATGTATAGCATTCATTTATAATTCATAGTTTTGTTTTATGCTTACTTTTTCAATGATGCAGTTAAATTTTTTAAAATAATTTCTTACTTATATCTAATTATACATCTTTATGGTATACAGTATGGCTTTTCAAATTGTACATGCAATATGTGATCATCAAACCAAGAGTATTACCCTATTTCATTGCTTTCAGCAAAGAATCTTACATTCAAAATAGTCTTACATTCTTTGTCTGTTAAGCCCTTTTTGTTCCTGAGCTTCTCTCATCCATCCCCCTGCCATATAGTTTCTCATATCTCTATTTGTCCTCTCTACTATTATATCTTTAGATCTTTCCATTTCTGCCACAGAGTGCAGATGTTAGGTATATATTGAGCGGGGATATGCAGTGTTTGTCTTTCATAGTGTGGCTTACTTCACTTATCATTGAATTTTCTATATTCATCCACTTTGTATAAATGAAGGGTCTCGATGTTCCTCCTAAGTAAATTCCATAGTGTACACGTGCTACATCTTAAAACCACAGCAAGATACTGCTTAACCCCAGCAAGCAGAGCTTTTTCTGGCTTTGTTTTCTGCCTCATTACCTGTTTCTCTAACGATGCCTAATACATATGCATTTAGCAGATTTTTGTTGAATTGATGAATCCCCCCCTTCTTTTTTTTAAATTCTTGCTATAGGGCATGTGTGCTTGATGGAGAAATAAAGAGAAAAGAGAAGGAAAGTGAGAAATCACCCTCCAGGAGGGTTGACTATATCACAACCCTTTCTCCTCCAGTCTCCTCTTGGGATTTTGGATATGCACACACATGCACCCAGTGTGATTTTCAAGTCACGAGGTCTGAGACTTGAACCACAGAATTGGCCATGTGGAATTCAGTGCCTTAACCTCCATGCCACCTGCTGGCCCGATAAATTAACTTTTTCACAATATTTGTAGGATGTATATTAATGTTGCCGAATTGAAATTATATCCTCCTTTCTTATTGTTGAATGATATTTCTCCAGCTTTGTTGATTTTATTATGATCTCAGTGTGAAAGAACTGACTATGGAGTCATCCCTCAATATTTGAGGGGTACTGACTCCTAGACCTCCTGCAGGTACTAATCTGTGGACGTGCATGTCTCTGATGTAAAATGGCAGAGTATTTACACAAAAGCTAAACTCACCTTCTGTATACTTTAAATCATCTCCAATTACTCATAATACCCAACACAATGTAAGTGCTATATAAATAATTATTAAATTATATTTTAAAATTTCTATTTCTTTCATTGTTACTATGGTTTGGGGTTTT